GCCTGGAGTATTTGCACACACAATTATTTTCGTCTAGAAAAAGTTCACCTGAGTCGTGGGATATTCGGGACAAAGAAAGCGGTTGCTCAAGTTGAGGTACCGAGCGTTGACGGGACAAGACAGTCCTGCTGTTGGGGCAATATGTGTAGCTAGGGGCGACTCCCACCACGCCAGTCGTAGCTCTTATTGTTGTTGTTTAAAATCCTGGTCAGGTGCTTGTTGTACACCAGGGAGTGTGGTGGTGCGCTTAGGTGCAGTTTCGGCCATGCCAGCCACCTGCATCCTTTCTTGCCTTCGGTTATCTTGACTATATCTTGATAACGGCTTCAGGTGGTGGAGGAGGAGAGAGCGCGCTAGATGCTGCGCAAGTCTACTATCACTATAAATGAAGCCACGCGCAAGTTACTGTGCCTCCTCTCACCCTACTGTGCAGCACACGGTGGGCATCGCCGATCACGACGATCGAGCCGTCATCGTCAGATTATCTGCATGAGGAGCTATACATCCGTCTGGATATAGTCCATAAGGCTGGCTTTTCAACGAAGGTCAGGTATACCTGCCTTCGGAAGAAATGCCCATGAAGACAAGAGAGAGTGGATAAGTGACCTCTGGCCCACTAACTACTCTTAGTCAGGCATTCCCCAACTTTAGAGTTGTATAATCTGGGGCTAGGACCCAGAATTATTTAGCATTAAGTCAAGTACTGTAATATCAGACCACGGGTCTGCCTTTTTGTTTATTACAGCCGGGAACATGAACTTAAATAGTTCCAAACGTCCACTGAGATGTCTAAAGTAGAGATCCTGCCCTTCCTGTGTTGCCCTAGTGACTGGGGGCAGTTGGTTGGCGACAAACAGTGATGCAGAAGCAATGCCGAGAATGACAATACAGACTAAAATAAACATTTTAGGCTTTATTGTGAACGCAAAACAGCTATGCCAACCCCCAGGCCTTGATATCCTGGGCTCGAGCCCAGCCTAAACGCAGAGCGTTTGACCGAATGCTGAACTGCCTAAAAATCCCGGCTTGAATACCGAATTATCCAAACATATATCCGAGATATGGCTGTTCGAAGACGAATGACAGATCGGAAATGATCGTCCTAGTATCTTTTGTTTCTGTCAGCGTTACATTTGTATTGCTGTTCGTCGTCGCTCGTCTACACGGGAGATTACGGACTATAATCACAAGGAAAAGCCAGACAGGCCGATGGACATCTCTGCCACGTTGGCCACTGTCCGCAGTTCGTGGCAGTCGCCATTCCCTCCAGATGATCCTTTTTTCGTTTTACCTGCGAATTACCGAGAAGAAGGAATAACACAATGGATGTAATGTAGGTCTTTTTGGGGTATTTGAGGTGAGGAATGGCTTCACCAGCTCTGTCTTACATATTAAAAAGTGCTGCCATCTTTCGCTAGTTCTCCTCTGATTTAACATGTTGGATGAAGAACCACTTAAGTACAGATCATAGCCATCGACAGGTAAAGACCATTTTCGGCCTTGCAAATGAGCAGTCCTGCAGTAGTTCCGTAGCGTATTTTGGTCTCATGATTACAGCGTCGGGCTGAATGCTATACTGTTCTTCCCTCTCTAGAACACGTAAGTGAGTTGTTGGGTTTGTCTCCAGTCATCAGCCCGGAGTCCTACTGGTCAAACAACTAGCCTTCCTGC